GTACGTCAACTTTGGGATATGGGTACATCCAGCTAACGAGTCCCAAATAGGATGAAACGCGCATCCTGAATCTCAATGCTACCCACAATTCATCTTCACTTATAATTGGATGATAAATAAAGATATCTGATCAAATCACTTCTGTCACTCCTACTGTAGCTAAGATATCAATCAATCTAAAATATATTCCTAGCACATCATGATTTTGTTCTATAAAATTAGCACATCAGTTTCTGCTAGTTCTTCATGCTTCAAGTTAAAATATCCTTCTCAATATTGCCGAAAATTCGGTAGCCAACACTAATCAAACATATGTCTGTTAGTGGACAATAAACCACTAAAGTATAGCTTTTGTCTATTCAAACGGATAAACAATACGCATAGTCGGTGCATCCCAGTTAATTAGCATAAACTTGGGTTAATAATCCGTATGCTTGAGTAATAGTTTTGATATCTGCTTGTTTTTGTAGACCCAATTTCCCCGTGATACCTGAATAAAGACTATTTTTAGTTACAATCCACTCTCTCTTATTTTCATAATCTACCAATAAGCAAAATCATTGTATTGATGTTTCTCTAATTGAGGCTTGAAAGTTGCTTTCTAAAACAATCATTACTGTAGGCCATCATCAGGAAGTTTTGTAAAATTTGCTGAAATTTTCCTTCCTGATGTTTTGTTTTAGATCACTAATAGACTTTGTTGTTGTGCTTACGAAAGACTGATGACATATCAATCCTATCATCAGAAGCTAATCATCAATTAACAATTGATTATTGTTCAGGACGGCTTTTTATAGTACTTTGTTCGATGCGGTCAAGGATACGTAGAATATGACAGCACTATCCGAAATGACTTCTTACACGATCCCAGAGCTAATAAAACCAGAAATCAAGAATGACCAGATATGAAAGTACATTTGGGGCTAAGATCGATGTAATGTAGTATACAGAATCTAGACTGACCCGTTATAATAACAGATAAGCAGCATGGCATTCACAAACATGCTCTGATGTGGATAATTGACTGAAAGTCTTCAATAAGGGATGTATTCAGTAAAAGAAATAAGTTCAGTATCAGTGTTGAAAACTTACAAAACTATTTATTTTAAGGATTTACTTACCACTGCATGTTCATTCTCATGTGAATGATAGGCCGTATGAGTCTAGGCATGTCATGTGTTGCAGAAAAAGCATATATATCTTTTACTTCAAGACCATGTATTGTAAATGTATATTCATTCGATTTTGATGTCGAACTACACTAATCATTCTCAGTTTTCACATTTGCTTAACAGATGGGTTAAACATTTAAGAAACACGAGTATATTGTGTATAAATCAGAAGTGAGATAAACAAATAAACTTGTCACTTGACATTCCATAGGAATTAGGTAAATGTGTCATAGCATAAAGGTTAACTTTGAAGATAAATTTATGAAAAACAAAATAGAAAGTAGGATAATCTTTCTACTTTCACTGAAATGCTATTTATATAAATAAATGTTTATATAATAATATTTCAATGGTGATCTAACATCGATCGATTCATGATCTCAATCAAATAATTACCATATACTCACTAGTGACTAGCTTCATGAGAGAATTCTCAGAGTTCAATTGAGAAGCCATGACCAGTGGAGCTAATCTATTTGAGATAGTGACAAGTATCTATCTCAGACAATAGAAGATGGTCGCACAATTTCGTCGATTGGTTGAAGTTAGACATTATTACCGTTGGATGCCGGTCGGCTTAGTGGTCTAGAGCTTAAACATTCGCGCGCGAAACTGGAAGTCCAAGGTTCGAGTCTCTATGGTGCAGAGTCGTGGATGTGCACTACTCATGAGTACCATACTAGGACTAAACGACCGTCTAGTGCTTCTAGATTTTCAATAATGATATAACATCGATCTATTCATAATCTTAATCAAAAATATTGTAATTAGTTGGAAGAAGGTGAACCAATTTCGAATTGTTCCATCTCTAATTATTTCTATAATGAACAAAGTTTATCTAATGTATAAAATAACAACTCCTTCACACATAAATGGCTTCACTAAAGTAATTTATCCTCTTTTTTTATATCTTAAGTTCATTTTAATAGTGTAACTTTGTCGAGCTTTTTTCCCCATAAACTTCTAATTAAACGTCTATATTGATTCGTCAATTAGACATTGTAGTTGCTGGCACTATGTATTGAAATGAATGAACATTATTTAAATATTAATTCCTGAACTGGTGCTATCTAACTGGCGATCACTTAGGGAGGAGTAATCGTGATCTCAAAATTAGCGTGAACATGTACCTAAACGGGTTTCAGAAACAAACAGATTCAAATGGCTCAATAAGAGTAGAGGATAAACATCTATCATCCTCTATTGGCAAACAAATAATTGAAACAGATCGTAAGATTGATCTTAACCCGTCTTTTGTGGTGTTGTACAAAAGTGTGAAAAGGCATATTACTAAGGTTTATTGAAGCCTTAGCCATACGAAAATTCTAACCCCCTTTGTGTATTTAAAAACAGTTTGTTCTCACCTTAAGCCTACTCTGGTAATATTAGCCTATTATCTAGAGTGATCCAATTTCAAATTGTTTTCACGTTATTTGATATCAGAAGTGATTTTTGTGGATATCATAGTTGGGATCATGAACCAATTGGAGCCAGACCACCATGAAAAATCTGGAATCACTGGACTGCCATTTTCTCCTATTTTAGGACTCTTCAGCAGTGCGCATCCACAAACTCACCTCACGAGATTCGAACACAGGATACCGAGGTACGCAGCGATAGACCATGCACCCTGGAATGTGCTTTGAAGCAAAATACAATTTCGTTCCCATTTCACTGAATAAGTAAAGAAACAATGATAGCAGTGGTATTTCATTTACGCTGGACACCGAAGCACCCATTTCCCACCTATACTACATCCATCATGTCTCCTCACAAAGTCGGACTAGAGTCAAGCTCAACAGGGTCTTCTTTCCCCGCTAATTCTGCCAAGCCCCTTCCCTTGTCTGTGGTTTCGCTAGATAGTAGATAGGGACGGTGGGAATCTCGTTAATCCATTCATGCGCGTCACTAATTAGATGACGAGGCATTTGGCTAAATATTGTTAACCAGTTACTCTCGCTGCACATGCATGTGTACCGCTCACACGACGCTAGAGGTTGCACAGGTGCCATCTGCACTTCCACTCCCCTTTAATGACATACAAGTTGATTTGGTTTGTTCTGCTAGATCACCGGACATCCAATCCGGGATATCTTAACCGCTAGATCACTGAGCCGGTATTATATTTTTATTATCTTTGTCTCCTCTTACCTCTCATTTCTAGTCTAGTTAACCTTTTCTTTTTAAATATCAATTATCTTAACAGGTATATTGTATGTGATCAGATTGTTCAAAAGATATTACACTAATATATCATCACATAGTTCTGATAATCTTCATCTTCTGATTACACTATCGAGATCACTTCATATTGATCGTCAGGATTGATGAATCATTAAGAAGAGGAAACTTTTTGAAATAATTTGTATTGTGAATTCTATATTGAATAAAGCTAACCATAATAACTATAATAATATTATTATTATTATATAATCCTATGAAGACTTTACATTGTAAAATGCATAATCAATATGAAATAATCAATAATTGTATTCATCCTCACTAGATGATTACTATTCTTTCGAATCTTCATCTTCTGATTACAGTATTGAGATCACTTAGTATTGGTCGTCAGGATTGATGAATAATTAAGGAAAGGAAACTTGATTTAAATTTTCCATGGTGGTCTAGCTTCAATTGACTCATTATTTCAATCTGTGAAATTTCTAAAATCTCAACAAACCCTTTCTGATAATAATCATCTGCTCACTAGTGACTGACTTCAAGAGATACTCCTGAAGTTCTAGTGAAAAGCGATTACCAGTGCAGTTCAACCAGGTATGTTGTGAGATGTCAGCTCACTGAAGACAATGGTATACGGTGGCTCAACTTCGTGGATTGGTTGAAGTTAGATATTAACACCACTGGATACCGGCTCAGTAGTCTAGTTGATTAAGCGCCTGGCGCAAGACTGATAGGTCCTAGGTTCAAATCTCACGGTTGTGCTTGATCGTGGGTGCGCACTGCTGAGGAGTCCCATACTGGGACGAAACGGCCGTCCAGTGCTTCCAAGTTTTCAATTGACTCATGATTTCAATCTGTGAAAAGGAAACTTGTTGAAATAATTTGTACTGGAAGTTCTATATTGTAGCAAGAATGTAATATTGAATAAAGCTAACCATAATAATAATACTTACTATTATTATTATTATTATTATTATTATTATTATTATTATTATTATTGTAAAATGCATAATCAATATGGAATAATCAATAATTGTACTCATGCTCACTAGATGATTACTATTCTTTGAAATATAATACTCATATGAATAGTATTTACAACAACAACAACGAATTGTGTAATCAATTTTACTTTTCAGTTCTAATTTTTGTTTTGTTTTGTTTAACGAATAAAATACAAAAAAGAAAACAACCAAACAATTCTATTCAATCATTATTAAAGAAACCAAACTATACTACTTATTAAAATGAATCAACAAACTAATCAACAATCATTTATTCTAATAAAATATCTTATAAAACCATGGCTACTTATATTCAATATATGTATAATATTAATTCTATTATTATGTAATACATTATCTAGTTGGATTATTGTCAATGATTTAAATCAACAATTACCTGGTTTAGTTTATGATCAAATATCCAATATTATGATCCATTCTATAATTTTATTTAATATTATTGAATTAACATTGAATTTAATAGAATTTTTATTATGGTTTAATATAATAAGAAATAAATTTACCTTATGGTTATTGATTGATTGTATTACTATAATCAATATATTGATAGCTGAATTACCATTAATGATATTATATACATATCTATATACATGTCAAGAATCAATTATATCGATTGGTTATTTAATAAAAGGTATATGTATCATTCTATTGATTTGTTTACGTTTATTGATTAGTTTTATATCATATATACATATGAAATCGAATGATTCTTATATGAAATCAATAAATTCTATGATGAAAGAAAGTCAATATTTATTAAGTCATTGTCATGATAATAATAATAATAAACAATCGAATCAAATCAATAATAATCAGAATTTAGAAGAGAATTTCATATGGAAACAAAAATATTGGTTACTTATTCGTATCCTATTATGTTTTAGTTGTTTTTGTTTATTCATTATTATTTGTATTCTATTCAACTTTTTCTTTCATCCATCTATATATACTACTTATTTATTATGGAATCAATTCAGTAATCATCAACAACAACAACAACAACAACAATCATTATTATTATATCATTTACCGAATCATTCTTATTTGAATAATGTAGAAATCTTTTTAAAAGATCTATCATCGAATCATTCTCAACAATCAAAATGGTATCATTTAATTAGTTTAAAACAAATTATCCATTTAAAATCAATTAATGCCAATGAATCAGTAACATTAACATTCTATTTAAATGGTCGAAAGAAATTTATTGAATATAAACAAACTATTTATTATCAGAATTATACAAAAGAACATTCTAGTTCATGTTGGCAAATATTAAATCACGATTTATATAAAGAATTTATATGTCCACCATTATCTATAATTCATACGATTAAATTAATTCATCGTATTAAAATTGATTTTATTTATAATGTACCATCAAAAAGACAACCATTTGGAATGGTATTATATAATGTAACAAGAGTGATAAGTAATAGGTAAGAGTGAAATTGAATTGTTCTTTTTTTTTCTTATCTGAAAGGGGTGTTAATTCTATCGAAGCGTCGAAGTAACCCCGATTGAGATACGCGCAAAATCGAAGTTCCAAAATAACGATTTGTCTACAAAGGCGAGATTTAAAGGAATAGGTGAATTCACCTTAGAAACTGAAGGAATAATATTTTCAGCACTGGAATTGTCTGTGTCTTGGGAACTGTCATCGTTGTACTTCATTCTTCTCGTTCTAGTCATCGTTGGGATAAATGAACCAAACAGGATTCCGACCATATTCGTTACAGCAAGTATTCCCTCCAATTAGGACCAAAGTTCAGAACTGTATCCACACCAAATGAGACCAAAGTTGAGAACTGTTAATTCTATCGAAGCGTCGAAGTAACCCCGATTGAGATACGCGCAAAATCGTTGTTTTGGAACTTCGATTTTGCGCGTATCTCAATCGGGGTTACTTCGACGCTTCGATAGAATTAACAAGGGGTTTTGTGGAGATTTTAAAAATTTTACTGGTTGAAATCATGGGTCAATTGAAGTTACATTAAAATGGAAAACTGGGAGTTCAACCAGGTCGGTTGTGAGATATTAATTCATTGAAGACGATGGTGTATGGTGGGTTGGTTGAAGTTAGACATTAATACTGTCGGATGCCGGCCGGTTCAGTGGTTTAGTGGTTAAGTGCTTGAGCGCGAAACCACTAGGTCCTGGGTTCGGATCTCGCGGGGGGCGAGGTCGTGGATGCGCACTGCTGAGGAGTCCCATACTAGAACGAAACGGCCGACCAGGTTTTCCATGGTGGTCTAGCTTCAATTGACTCATGATTTCAACCAGTGAATTTTTTTTTATTTGTTTCTTATAATTATTTACTTAGTTATTTACATCTGTTACTTGCAATGGAGTATTCTCTAATAATTCAATCTGTCTTGGATCTTCCGTTCTAATTCTATTCAATTATTGTCCGTTTTTCTCATGTCTATTTCTCAATTTCTTCGTGTAATGTGAACTTGGGTCTTTCACTTTACTTTTGGCGTTGAAGATACAGTTAAATCCTATCCACTTCCAGCGCTTGTTCTTCATTTCTTCCTTCCCTTGAATCTGGTTTGTTCTCTCACATAATAGGTTGTTGGTGATAGTGTCTGACCAATGGATCCAAAGTATTTTGCGTAGATAGCTGCTAATAAACATTTGTATCTTCTGGAAGATGGCTTTCGTAGTTCTTCAAGTTTCTGCCTCATACAGTAGAACTGTCTTGACATTTGTATTGAAAATTCGGACATTGGCGTTGATTAATAGGTGTTTTGAGTTTCAGATGTTCTTCAATCGTAAATATGCTGTTCTTCCTTTGCCAATCTATGCTTTCACATCTGCATCAGATCCACCGTGTTCATCAATGATGCTACTCAGATATGTAAAGGTTTTTACATCTTCCGAAGCTCCTCCGGTGTTTGTTGTTGAGCGTTTGCAATGGAAGAGAGAGATCATCTGCGAAGTCTAGATCATCCAGCTGTATCCTAGCTGTCCACTGTATCCCATGCTTCCCCCCCAGATGTTGATGTCTTCATGATCCGGTCAATCACTAGGTGAAAAAGAAAGGGTGAGAGTAAGCAACCTTGCCTGACACTGGTCTTTATTTCAAACTAGAAATAATATTAACATTAAATATAAGATCCAATATTAAATAGTAAGTTGAAATTATTGTATGTAATAAATGACAAATTTCGTATATGTACAAATAGTAAATGCTTTATAATTATGATGTACTGTACTAACCGAAACATACTAAAGATCATGTATGGAATTCTTTCAACGCTATAAGCTTTATATAAACTTTTTATATGATGATCTGATATTTAAAAATCTTTTATTGTATCATCCTTACGGAAGTAACAAGAATAGGTAAGTAAGTAAGCGTTGTATCGTACTACTTTTAGGCAGGTTAATAAAGTGAGTTCAATATTCCCAAATCTTATACAACTGATTATGATTGCTTACACAATAAAATAATAACTCTACTTCCCTTGTATAATGTAAAGTTTAAGCTTTAAGAGTTGATCCAGTATATTTGATTGCAATTTCTCATATCATCAAAATAAATCATGTTATTAAAGAATAATGTCAGCTTTCCGATGAATGATCTTTCTACTAATGCATAAGGATTACACATTACTAGATAACCGAAATATTATCGACAGTTTACAGTCAAACATTTATTTTCTATCAGTTTTAAGGGTTATGGAGATTGTTAAGTTTTTTGATTGAGATCATGAACCAATTGATGTTAGACCACCATTGAAAACCTGTAAGCACTGGACGGCCGTTTCGTCCTATTGTAGGACTCATTTATTTTCTAACTAATGCTTAAATCTATAATTCTATGCATTCGCACTAACAGATTAAGTTTTAATCTAATCATGAATAACTATCTACATTGTGCAAATACGTATCAGTAATGATCAGATTATTCTCTACATAAATATTCATTGGTTTACTGTTGTATATTACCGTTTTGATGAATATTTGATTGAGAATATTATTCTATATGAGTTCTAATGAGAATGAAGATTGAGGATTGTTAGGTTTCTGAATCTATCATTCCTTGTTATTGTTTTGGTTATTTATAGGACTTCACTGAATGTCTTATTTATCATAAAAGTAACTAAGCATGATAGAAATAAACTTTACTAATGTTCACGATGATGATGATAATGATTGACTTCAAAATCAAACTTTCTATCTACCTGATATCTTCTGAACACCAGTCACCATGGCGCGCAATGCTGATTAGTGTTGGAGATGGTTGGGAGAAAGTTAGGGGAGGCCAAACCAAAATGTGGCATCAGTGATTGAAGTCACTAACTTCTGGTCTGAGCCATGTTGGTAGATGCAGACTACTTGATTGGGGTTCGTGTGACTATCGTAATCAATGGTTGAAGACTCTGGGTGACATGACTCCGAATCGATCACAATGGCATAGGTGTATACACTCTTTGTCTTCCCTTAAACCGTGAGACTTAAATCGCTTCATATCTTTCTTTCCACAAACTAGTTCTCTCTTCCTGTACTATATCCTTATGCACAATCTTTCTTTTATATATTACCACCATTGCATTAAGTACTTCTATGAATTCGGTGTTCATCTTGTTGTGCTAATAAGGTGTGACAACTTGGACCGATGCATATAAGTACCTGGTCTTACGTCGTAGCTGACTAATTGAGAAACTCCCTAAAGAGAAAACAGCTCTTAATAATATATTCGTTTTTCTACATTTTCACAACATTACAATGAAAAGCAATAAGCTTGGTGAGTATTATATCATCAAATGAATTGTTTTAAAATGTTTTCACAAACATTTGGTGATGTTATTCAAAAACCATTGATTTATATAATCCAAGATGTGACGATAAAAGATTAGTTCTAGGAAATTCAAAGGCAGTCACCCTATAAATTAACTGCTTTTTATGGGATAAATTGATTAATCCCTTTTCCATAAATCAGTCATGTACGTCGAATACCTAGAAAATCGTATAAGTCAATCTGATAAGAGTACATACAACAGTTACCGCTTTTAGTAAACTGCTTATAGTTTATCAATCTATGTTTACTCATTCTTGCTTGGTTTATTAATTCAAAGTTAAGTAGATGCTGGTAAACAGGTGAGAACTACACTAAATTATAAAAAGAATATTTGATTAATGCTTGAACACATACTTTTTCATTGTAAAGTAAAATAGGCTAAGTCTTATTCTTTTAAAACTCTTTGTTAGTAGTATGTTCTGATGAGTATTTTATGTGGTTTTAGATGTGAATAACATAACTAGTGACGGTCTTCAAGAAGTATTTTCTGCAATTCTAATGAGAAGCAATGACTAGCGGAGTTTAGCTGGGTCTGTTGTGAAATACTAACTCACTGAAGACGATGATGGATGTGTCACTAAATTTCGTGGATTACTTGATGTTAGACATTAACACCAGTGGATTCCGGCTCGACGGCCTTGAGGATAAGCGTTCGAGCGCGAGACCGATAGGTCCTGGGTTCGAATCTCATGAGGCGGGATCGTGTATACTCACTTTTGAGGACTCCCATAATAGTAGGAAACGGCTGTCCAGTACTTCCAGGTTTTCCATAATGATCTAGCTTCAACTGACTCATGAATTCAACTACTAGATAACATAACTAACAAATAAAATATTAACTTATGTAGAATCAACATATGACAATTAAAAATTAAGAAGGGTCTATTGAAATGAATTTTTTTCTATGAGGTACTCTCATTAAATTTATTGATAAATAAATTTAATTTCATAATGATTATGTTTCGTACTTTGAGCCGTCAGTTATATGGCGTTAATTCATTAAATACATACTAGACTGGTTATAAGCGCTAGATATATAAAGAAAACATTACCAGCTATTAGATAATAAACACAAGATCCGTGGATAAAATAGTCTCTGTCAAATAGTTGTAACTGAAGGAAAATATTAACACATAGTTAACGATATTTTAAACTTTTAAGCTACTTCACTGGTTACAAAAACTACTGCTAGTTGTTTGTTCTTTTCTAAACTAGAATGAAATAAGCCACGGATAACCACCATTGTCAGTAGTATCTAACTAAATATTATAGATCCATTGATTAATTTAGTTATCTGTATTGCATACATACGTCAAAAAAAAGGTATCTATTTTAATCGAATTTTCACTTCTGATTATGTAATATTTTAATTAACTTTCAGGTATAAATTTCGGGAACATGAATTGACGTTCAAATATTTCCAAAACACCATAGTTCATTTTTCTTCTAAAAAAACGACAGAAATACAAGGTAACCATGATCATGATGAATGGTCAAGTGGCCCGTTTAGATCAAACAATCTTGAAGTTGATGATCATCAGTACACGAAATATCGAAGTTCAGACCTTGTACCTGTTAAAGAATTATGGAAAACAGGTATTGCAAAGTGCCAAAGTACGGCACCTATAGGACCACAGAAAATGTAAAACAATTTTGTGTCACTTGTTTATTTGGTTAATAAACTTATTCGTTAACTAAGATAGTGTTTTATTTTAAATATCCCCTTAGTAACATTAAGTATGGTTAAGTTTAGCATGAAATAATCGGCTACTAAAAAATACTTATGGGCACGGAAGAATTAGTCCTGATGTTGAAACAGCCTCTTGTGGACGTTATATACATTTCTCTTTACGATTGTACCAGCTGAGTCAAGGATAAAATTGATGAAATTTGCATAAAACATTTTGTTTAACTTAATCAACAAATTTTATCTCCATGGTTTTTTGTAACATCATTGCAAAAACCACGTTAACGAAGTTCGTCCGTTGGTTTACCAATGTAAATTATTATTAGCTATTTAACTGATTCGATGATCCATTCATTTCCCTATAATATATACATGTACATTTATTCCTATGTACATTCTCGACTCGCTGACTCACTCATTCGCCTCTCTGCTTAGCGGTCTGAGTTATCTGCTAATAAAACTGTAGTCGCTGCTTCTCTTTGCCTTATGATTTCAAACACCGTTGAGGATTATATGATAACGGTTGCGAGGGTATTTGGTCAACGAACTACAGCCACTACAAGCTCCAAATAAAATAATTTCGTTTGCGCCCATGGATTTGAATTAAACACAGATCTATGGGTAGCTACCAGAGTACAACATGAATAGTTCTGAGAACTAGTAGTTAGCATAACGAGTTCGACTACTACCACCACTATTACTACTACTACTAATGATGATAATAATAATAATATTAATAAGCACTCTTTTGATGTATGATTTACTGCCATATCATTTTCTGTTCCAGAGCCATTTTTATTTAAACGTAATCTTTTATACTCTATTTTCTACCCTAATATCCACAAACCCTCATTCTGACATAATTCTATTTTCCTAATGGTTTGTACGTTGTGGTCGTGTTAGCCATAAATTTATTCATGTATCTTATGCACTAATCTGAATCGGGAACTCGATCGGAATTGAGAATAAATGGAGTATTGTTCCAGTTGACTTGTGTTCTCTCTCGCAGGCGCTAGTCATCTAATTAGGTGATAGGATAGTTTTCGTCTCTCTACCTAAGGCAGTTAGTTTCACTTCGGACTCACGCGTTTCTAGCCTCAGTGTTAAATCAGTCAGTCTATTGTTTAAAGGCCTTAATCCAGATTGAGACATATATTCTTCTGCATATTGTAAGTAGATAGATTAAGGACGTAACAGTAAGAGACGAGATCAAACAACATAAACAAAGGTATTAGATAAACAACTAATTTAGATGACTCATTTTGTCTGCCTCATGACTGGTGTTGATCAAGTGTGACAGAATGTTGCTGCGTGTTATTCCGACTATGTTCTTTCCTGACCATGAAGGGAGGTGTTCACCAACTAGCTTGCACAGTCATCTGGTTATAGACTCAACATAGCTCTTTTCGCAGGAATAGATGAAGTTATAGATACACGTGTGCATGTGTTATGCTCTTTATCTTGGTAATCTATGACTGAGGACAAATGAATAAAGTAAGATCTAGAATACAAGTGTTCTTAAATACATATTTCAGTAACTGCATCCACCAGTATATGCGATGGTAAATAACAAAGTATTATTGAAATGAACGGACAGAACTCGACTGAAATAGTAGTAGTATTGAAATAATACCAGAATTACACCTCACTGTAATTGAATTGAATTTATTTTGACACTGGCACTTAGAATCACTAACGATTGCATTGTGGTGAAATAAATTTAGGACTGCATTAGACTGGTCTAATCTTCGCTGTATTGAAATGGGTGTAGACTGTCAAAAGTGTCAGCTAGTCGGCGTGTCTCAAGTATTTATCGATCAATATAGTGATAGAATACGATAAACAGATACATAAATATAACAGATGACCAAATACAGGAATATTAAAAGGACTGACATGCAAGAAATCCTAATTATTCACACAATTGAGCACAAATTGACTAGTAGAACTGAACTAATGCAATTAACAATCCCACATTTAATCAGATATCATTTCCCAAAATGCGTGGACTGGTATGTTGATTTAACATGTCTGTATGAAATTCACAATTGTGTAGGGCTAGCAAAGGTTCACTGGGCTTTAGCCAAATCATTAAGCAGACGGGACACTGAATGTCGGACACTTCACTGATTATTTTCAAGTTCAAAGAAAACTAACGCGCATCAATTAATCGCACGCCATAGACTGGCCCATGCGGTGATGGGCACAATCTTTTCCTCGTATCTATTCTTACTAATATATCTCTGTAATAACGTTTTTTGCGTTATACTGTCTTCAAAGCAGCTACAGTACTTTGATATTCACGTTATCTGCTGACTGCGAGGTATGAATTTGAAGTTAGCTGGTTCGTCAGATCATTCCCGTCTAACTTCATTAAGCCCCCGATCGTTCGACACAGATAATCTTCGTTAATGATCTAAAAGTTTCTATACCTTATTGTTCTCTGAAAGTAAAATGGGTCTCTTTTTAAAACTAACTTTTCAGTTCAAAACATCTACATTTGTCGTTAACTGGCTCTCATCAGATATTAATTATTTTCAATAAGTAAAAGGCATATTCACTGGTAAGAAAGAAATAGTCTAAATTGGATAACGGATGGTAATCATAACGACTCCCAAATAACTGTCAAATCACTAGAACTGTTATATTCCAATGACTAGACTACCTTCTTTGAACGCTATCAAGGGCTTGGAAGAATGCTTAAATATAGACACAAGAGTAAACTACTTAGTTTGTGCTTGCTGATCACAAAGATATTAGACATTTGATGGCAAAAGTAGCTATCAGCATGCCACTCAAATCTGACTTCACTCCTTAGTCTGTCAATCAAAACTGTGGGCTTTTAATGTTCAACTGGTTGTTAGGGAAGTGTTCGACCACCCTAAAATATTGTTTTTATCTATGACAGAAAGAGAACGTTGGAAACCCATGAAGAATATTTTATGGAAAAACAACATTGTTACTTATTTATTCTCCTACTCTGTTTTGCATGTTAAACTTCGATCAGGACTCTTTTAAACATGTGAAGTGACTCACGTTTATCACGAGAACACGACTGGTTTAACAAAAACAATTATTATTATAACCAACTGTACCAGTGTTTGTTTTAATGTGCTTTTGTTTGACTGTGCTAATGACAGCTATTTTGTGCTTCCATTCATATACTTACACTTTGATTGTAACTTCGCGCGAATTCGGTTACGTTCTGTAACCAAGCTTGTATCCTGGCACGATCTCGGTATCCTCTCGATGCCACGAGATCGCCAGCAAATATAACTCGACTTGGTCCATTACTTGCCTTCTGGTATTTGGCTTCTCGGAGATTTTATGGGTTTCTTTAATTACGTTCAACCTTCGCCTTCTGATCTACTTGGCACGTGTTTCTTGGTAGCGGTGTTCTTAGTTAATCTCAAATCGACGCCATGCTACCCATGTTTTACATTCCTCAGTCTCCTCTGTTTGAACTTTTATTTTTTTACCTTTGGTTAAAACTAAGCTTTTTTGTTTAATTTTCCTGGTGCGTATTGTCAGGTCATTGACAAAAATGTTGTGGTCAACTACACTCATTGTTACAGCATGTTGAAGTTGATGATTACTGACCTTCAACTGCCTTCTAAAAACGGTTACTGCAACCCCTTGCAAGAAGATATCTGATATCATCTTGTTGTGAATATTTTTGTTGGTTCTCATGTATCGAACTCTTATTAATTAACTATTCCTTTTGACGTTAAGCACGTTACTTTGTGCCAGAGAAATCTTTGACTGTATAGCACAAGCCCTACCGTTCGAGGTATTTTGTAGTCCGGATATAATTTATTTTCTCTGTCGTATTAGAACCGGTTTTAGAACAATTTAACACTATACAAAAGGCTTTGTACTCCATTTGTTAAAGAACCCAGTTTGGCTTAATCGAACAGACCCTGGTTTGCTAGCTCTGCATTCGAACCAAAAATTGAAATTTCGTTCGTTACAATCTCTTCAATAGTTTTTTAAACGTCAACACTGACAAACTCTGCGATCACCATTATGAATCTTGGAACAAACCATCATGTGGTATATTCAGCTATCTCAGTTAACTAATTTTCAGTTACTACAAATGAAATTCTAATTTACTCAATGACTTTAGAGAATAAAACGTGCACAACTGTTTTTAAAATAATGCGCAGTCGTCTGCTCGAGAAACCGTAGGCAAAGTTTCAAGCACATGAACACAGTGGACAACAATAGAAGTTTTCATCACGCTATCTAAATGTGAGTCAGAAAACATATCAGCGTGATCTAAATTATTTTTTCCGTCGCATATAACGGAGATCAGCTCACCTAGATTGCTGGCTATCAAATTCAAGAACATAGAGCATTTAGCTGAATTTGCCCAGGTCAATAGATTAATACATCCTTGATGTTATGACCTCAGTTGCTCATGCAAACCAGGGAAGTCACATGAACTCTACAACTATATCGGTAGCCTTTGAACAGCGACTTCTGGTTAAGGCGATCAAGTGTAAAAGTACAGCGGGTGTTTTTGTCAGGCGAGGATATAAAACTCGTGAGCCGCGTTCCACGAGACCGGTCAGTAAGTAGACTTAAACTCTACCGAGTATGCAGCCCCTACAAGAATTTTTTGGGTGTATTTTGTCTAATTCTGCATTTAGGTCTATTTTATCAGTACCACATCTAAAATATTTTAATATGTTTTAAAAGTTACCTTGCACAAACTATTACTCATTGTCATTGTAAGATCCATTTTGAAGGTTTTGTGTGTGAAACTATCCCCGTGCATACAGTTGAAATTTATTTATATTGGTTTCTTCAGTCGTACATTTTGTTAGTCTTTTTGGTTCCATTTTAGGTAGTAATATTGTATTTTATTATAATGTTTCTTTTTCTCACGTCTTCACTGAGTTTCCATGTTTATTCCTGAACTGCTTTTATGCTGTCTTAGTTGATACTTAGTCTTGGCGGCAGCCAACTTGATTTGTTCCCCCTTTGATTGTGTTGCTTTCATTGACAGCAACTGTGTATTTTTTATTGTGAATCGAAACACTCTGTGTTATAAAACAACCAAATATTACCTTTCGAACGAGTCTGTACTTGATCTATCCAGAAGGAATAGAATAACATTTATTTGTTGCGTTTGGATGATTTTCGTACATCCTTTATCAACTTGTTTATTTATTGTAATTTAGATTTGGCTACTAATTGAACAATTATTGGTTGGCAATATTTGTTTAGGTAATAATGTACATTTATATTTTTTAATGAAATCTGGTACCATCATTTACCCAATCACCTTGTTTTGGTTTAAATTGTGCGAAATCGCGTACCTAAACTATCTAGACACTTATTCTTCAGTGCAAACCTTAGTTTGGATCCTACAATCATCTCTCAATATATTTGAAAAAAGATTAGTCACTAATCATTTTCCGGGAATGATCTATAGTAATTTCGAGGGACTTAGTTTTTTCTAGGAGATCCAATAAGAATGTGTGTCTGCATCGAAATGAGATTAATAACTTTAGTACAAACCTGGTTGTTGCTAGATAATACAATGAAGTGCGCACCCAAAGTAGTATAGTAATCGGAAGTGGTAAGAAAAACCAGGCAGTTCACCTGGTTCAACTTCATTGCCAACGATACTAACTATTTCATAAGGGAGATAAATCGATCTGTCAGGTAAAAATATACACGAACGAAAGATATTACAAATGCAATAATTACTAGCGCATATAGGTTTCGCCAGTCACACCAAGCTATTGGCTCCAATACCCCGTTCACATTGGGTCACTCATGATTTTCCACCAAACTCCTAATGACTAACACTAGATGTTAAGTATAAGGTCCACGATGTTAGATGATGGAAGGATGAGAAATCGTGAAGACTACTGTCAAATGACCAGCTTCTGGACGAAAACGTACATGTACATATCCCTAAAAGTAGTTATAACCACACCGTTATCACATCCGATATGTGAGGCACGAAAATGAAATAACGGCGACTAATAATCTTGCTGAAGTCAAAATACCCTTTCAGTCGTGATGGTGCGTCATCGACAGGTTGCATGTAAAGATGAAGCTACAGTGTGTCTAACATAATTTTGCTCGAACGCGTAGATATTTCGTGTGATTCAAACAATTTGTTCATTTTAAATTATCCATTTTGAGTTAGCTCGCTTGATTGTTGTCTTTTGTTCCACTAGTATTGTTGGACGGCATGAAGTATAATTGAATAAATCTACTAATCCAAAATACCGAGCAGTTATAAAAAACACAGTCCGGGAAAATATTCCACAGTAAATGTGAAATCCAGATATGAGAGCATAATGATATTTGTACGAACTAATGATTCCTTTGTACCTGATTGCGCGTTTACTACAAATTCCAAATATAATACGTTCATTTGTGCATATCTAGTTCTACCTACCTTAAATTACACCATTTCAGGAATTTTTAGCACATTAATTCGCATAATTCTAATTATCATAAACATTCAGAGTTAAAAAGGAATTTTGCGACTGATTTAGAGAATGTAAAACACTAGGATGGTTGGTGAAACTTACTAAACGACGACAACCGTAATTTGTACAAACCACTAAAAAACAGGTGTATTATTATGGTGAAGAACTTCAGTAGTTCGGTGTATACAGAACTGCCTCAAGTATTAACAAAGTATTTCAAATGCCGCTGTATAGCCGTGCTGGAGAGTTATTCAGTAAAGACAGGTACGTTTTAGGAATCCGCATGGCTTCAAGAAAGACAGATCTTACATCATAAATGGCTTGTCAGCGTGAAACGGTTCTACAAGTTTCTGGGATTCCCCACACATGGATTACTCCAGGACCTTGTTAAGATACTGAACATAGCGCCCCACACCGCCCTGCGGATGAAAATAAAGCGAACACGGCTCACTCGTTAACTCCTCCTACGGTTTATTAACTGTTCAGCAATTTTAATGAATCGGATTCAAACTGGAGGATTAGCAATGTCGTAAGGAGCAAAATACCTATATTGGCCATTGACTGTCCCTCCAAAATATTATTTTATTATTTTTCTACCTGAAAGATTCCAGTAAGCAATGGAGAAATGTCATTTGTGGGGGTGATCCAAAAGGATTTAGGAAACGTTTAAGGACGACCGAAAAAAACTGCAATGGTAAGTAAATCTTCAAAATCAGTGGTTCTGTAAGTCTTTGACATATGATGATGACCACATCAGTGTGACTGGACTCACCTACCTGATGGTGCTTGGTCACACATCTGCCCCAGATCACGAGTAGGTACGCCGTGGTATTCATCCCTTTCAGCTACTAGCTATCTAAGACCAAACATTCCTTCGACACATTGATAGCCTTCCAAATACAACATCGAACTCTTTCATTCTAGACTCCTGATTAGACTGCGTTGACATACTTTGATTATTAAGGTTTTACTTGTCAAGGCGTTGTCGAACTCCGGATACTTGTGACATCTTTGACATAACAAATCGTGACCCATGTCTTTTGTTAACAGAAAGTTAGAATACTAGCAAGAGTTATCCAAGAGATGAAAGCAAGGTATATTCAACTCTCTATTTCGTCGGAATACTGTTAGGAATGCAAACTACCTAGTTCTTTTAGATGCCTTCTAAGGTCTACATCTGCTAGTGTCTCAAAATCCACAATAATTTCAGTTCTTCTCAAAGTTTGTGACTCTGGATTTTAAGAGAGCAGGGAGTCGCCAGATAATGTACGAGATGCAACTTACCTATGCCATCAAGGCAAAGCTTTACCGGAAGCCAGTTACAGAATCTGACTCGGAAACACTCAGAGAACAGCTAGTCCACCAGAAAAATTTATTACTGCTCGATCATTTTTAAGGCGCCATTTCAGCCGTCGTAACTACTGTTCCTTAGATGGACAACTGAGAAAGGTGACATGACTATCGAGCATGTTATCCAGGTTTACTCGCTTTCACCTGGAATGACGTTTAATCACAATCAGGGACATGCTTGAGCTTATTTCTTATGCCCGAAGAACTTCTCACAGGTAAGCTCTATTTCGTTTTATTACTTCTTATGTCTTTTTGTTAATTAAGTAATTTGTTTACTCCTCTTAACATGTGTTAAGCGGGGAGTACTTCTCTCTCCACTAATTTATATCCTGACGTACGAATCTAAATACTGAAATCAACTATTCGTTTGTCGAACAACATGATAAATGCTGACTTCAGAAACCTTGTTACTGCTGGACGAAAGTATTCACTTAAACCGAAAATCTGGCTCATCACGAAAAATTGTATTCAACCCTCACTGCTTGACCTTCATTCGGACCGCGGTGTTCCAGTTTTTGCCTTTGGTAGCAGGGTTGTATAACTCTTAGTAAGTACGATGGGGGAACTTTCTATTCGTTTCAGTTGTACACAAACTAGACTGTTGTATGTTTGGGTTGCTGTTTCACTCAACTCTTCAACTTTCTGCTCACATTTTGTGATATATACTCAACGAGATATTTGATAGGGTTGATTTGCCTTTGTATCAGTGTCAATAACACTAAATACCTAACGAAATAAACAGCATTTACTTTAAGAAACAACTGATATTGGCCGAGGTTCTTCCGAGCATTACAATGCTCATGAATGAGTTAGGTCATACTGCAATCAAATGCACTGTACTGTCCGAGGCTAAATAAGGAGATAAAAGATATGATAATGATATCAAAGCCATTGAAGCTAGGTTTTATCTCATATGTGACCACAGAACAGTCTGAAGTATCAAGCACATTCCTTTATTGATACCAGTAGTCGCGCTCTGCTCATCTTTAACATGTTCACAACTGAGATTATTATGCGATAAAAAACTTGCATCTGATGTGCTAAATTAAATAGACAGATAATGGGACAGTATTCCCAACAGGCTTCATGATGTGTCAAGTAAAGCTCTATTGGTTGGCCGGAGTAAACTAAGCTAACGTCACGACAACAAAGGTCTTGGAAAACGGAACATATTGTTTGGACCACAGCAAGGAGAGCTCAACCGTAATGTCAATCCTAGTCTGAGAAATCAAAACACCTTGGCCCTAAACTTATACCTAAGTGAAATATCAAGACAGAAGACTATTATCATATCTGTCATAGAAAATTTTGATCGAAGACCTCTTTGATCATAGTCTGGGGAATACTCATTGTTCAGGAAGTTTGTATTGTTATAGATTTTTAAGGTGAGGTTCTCATGAGATTCAAAATGTCTAAAGTAGTCACCTCTATAGAAATGTCAGTCACCATGCTATTCAACTCAAGCTGAAAGTTTATGCTAGGATAGCTTTTAATAACTAGATTTAAGACATTACTTTCAGTAATAAAACGAAGTGAACGTGTAATTTTTCTATAGTTGGAAATCTCAACTTATTTTGTAGAAATAAACTGGTATTCCGGGGCGAACTTGTCAACCCTGGGTTTGATCAGCAGTATGTAACGAAATTCCGAGACAGATATAGCCAAGAACAGTCCTAGTGTTTGAGTAAAAAGGTGAGTCATTTCGTAATTTTTATGGACTAAAATCGGTTGGTTTGTAGTTGAACATGTTGAGTATCTACATCCGTCGATATGCTATTTCTGGGTATTTTTTGGAAAATCTTATGTGCCTCACGGTTATTAATAGCTGCTGACATATGATTGCTTACACACGGAAAACGCGATATACGTAAACTATGTACACCAAGATGGAGGAGTCACCTTTCTGAAGAGGTCGAAGTATATTTTAAAAAAGCTTTTTCTTCACTTGGGAGCTGTCATGCTTGATGTGTAGTGGTTTCTGTAATAGGCACTGACGGCTTAAAGTGGTCGAATCTTCTAACTAGGCAACTTTAAAGTTTTGTTGTGCTAGCACTTAATACCACGTTCATATAACGTCTTGAACTGATTGTACGACTCATCTAGTGTTATTTACGTCCAAAACAATGGCAGCTAGAGTGAAACAATAATCTGCTTCTTCGTCCTGAAATCCACATTTTCACATCATTTTGCCCTTTATGTCATGATTATCTCTTAATAGGTGTTAGTTCGCGTAGGAGGTTAGGTTAAAAATGTAACTTATCTCTGCTGGTGGGCTTTATGTTTTACAAATACACTCGATCTCTGACCAATGGGTTGGATTTCTTAATCCAGTTTTATACACTTGTTGTTCAAAGTCAAGTGTATTGAATAGTAAGCTACATTAAAATTTTAGAAATTATGCTTTTGATGGTATATATGATAGTCGATGTCCTCAAGATAACAGATTTCGAACATCATCATCTGTAAGCACCTGAAAATACAATCAGTTAATCATAAACAAATAGATTCTAGGCATTAAGTGATGATTTTTGAGATGCTTCAATAAAGTGCATGTACTTATATTTCTTTTTACCTTGTTCTATTCAGATTCGTTTCGTGATGAAATTCTCAATTTATATATTCACAACTTATCTTTAGTCATCCAGTAGTCATTGAGTGTAATCTGTCGAACAATATACACGCTCTTTTAGCAATGGAATTTGCACATACTATTTTCAGAGTAGCATTGTCTGGGGACCCCAGTATGTTACTACAAATTTTATCTGGGGATCCAGGTTTGGCGAATCTTCCTGACTTTGATGTAAGTCGGGAAGTTTGTCTTTACTTAACAGGGCAATATGCCACTTCATTTTGCTGCTATGTCTGGTTCATGGGAGTGTGTTAAAATATGCATTTCTGCTCTACAAGCTCGCAAGGATCTTGACTGCGCAACGGAAGTTCAACGTAAAAATTTCATGGTAAGTTAATATACTAATAAACATCTTTCAAAGGGTAAAGATGCTCTTACCATTTCCGTTGAGAAAAGTGATTATGAATCATTTAATCTACTAATAAGTGCAGGAGCAGAAACAGATTATCGGTGTGCGGATGATGTGCCTCCTCTGGTGGCTGCTTTGAGTCAAGATAACGTGAAGGTGTGTTCACATTATACTAAAATATATTATTAAAACCATGTTAGTTAACCGCTAACGTCCTGGATGCACTCGACATAAATTTTCTTCGTTTACGCCGGGATCGCTATTGGATTTTAGCATTGCATACTGATCTCTCAATATCTTTAGCTTATTTCAAGCTCCTAAAGGCTCATGCTGTCCCATACATGCTAAGTGAATTTGAGGAAATTTGTGCCATTGTTCTTGAAGTAAGTTTCAATAATCGATCTAATTTTCATACATTGTCAACGTAGTGTCAGTAATTGCTGAACCTTGCCGTTTTGATGGTCGCTTTTTTATTCATTCACCTCTAGCCACTCGTAAACGTTTACAGCATGATAGTTTTGACAGATTCTAACAACGGACCAACAACTTGCCTGATTGGAAGTCTAACTCTACATAGGATAACGTTAATCTACTTCCATTCCAACAGCAGCATTCTGTTGTTACATTACCTCTGCATTTCGGACCTGTTTTTTTATTTTAGTTTTGAGTAAGCTCTTGCACAGTTATTAAATTACAAACTCGGTGCATTTTAAGGAAGTATGTTAGTTGTTTTGCGCAACATACACTGTAAAGTACACCCCCTATTTGTGTTGCCAGCCAACAATATTAGGCCTAAATAAAATATAGAGATGATACTCTTTGAAAGTCGAAATTCAAATTATTAAATAGTACTTTATTGGGTACTGACGTAATAGGAAAGAGACTACTTAAAACAAAGAAACAATTTCGAAGCAATAACATTGAATACAGTGTTCTTTCCAAATGAAACAATTATGAAGTTCGATACGAGCAGATTTATAAACTCTTAGAGCATACTGTATAATTTAATTGCAATAGTTATGTAAATTTAAATAAATTTGTTGCTTTACTTGTTATTTATTATTGGCATGTAGAAAGAACCATCAATAATAGGGATTGAAGAATTTTTGATTTACTTGGGGTCAGATGCCGTGGAACGTTGGTCTATTCATCAAGAAGAAGTATCTCTTTGTTTAATGCGTATTTCATCCTACTTTTTAAGAAAAGTCGTTCCATTTAGTCAGAACTTCAGTTGTATTCATCGCTTGCAAAAGTTAGGATTATACACGCCCCCGTCATCTGCTAGAACTTGGTTGCAAGTTCTGTCTCAATGGGGATTCCCAAGGATTTGTATTGAACAACCGGAAGTCCAAAAACAATTGATTTGGAATTTAGCAGATATCGATAGGAGTCCAAAAAATACAGTTCCGGACAGGTGTTTGCTGCCGCTTGTACTATATTTCGCTGTCTTAGCATTACGTTTCCCATATACAGATTGGATCGATTGTTGGCGTGAAGTTTGTTCTAAGGCGAACTTTAATGAGCATGAATATAACCTAGGAACACTTCTGGAATTACACAGTGTAAGGCAGTCAAAATCTGTCTTCGATTTCTTCTGGCATAATATATTCACTTTTGCTATTTCACGTGCTGTGTTGTGTACTAATTTAAAACTTTTTCCCTTAAATGATACTCAGTGGTCCATGGACAAGTTTTTAAGTCATGCTTATCGTGAATGCCAATTATTACAACCACTTCCTCCAGGGAATCATGAGAAATTAATTTATCTCCTTTCTTACTTTCCAGCATCTAACAATATTCCTGGACATGAAATTTTTATGTCTATTGTGTATCAGCATTTCTTACCATTGATATCTGATGATGATATTGAATGTAGTAGTAGTAGTTGCTCAAACGTTAATCCCAATGTATTGATGACTGCTACAGTTCATGTGCTTCATCAATATTGTTTATTAAATCTAATTGTAAACTTTTCAGCTAAATTAGGTCTGAAATTCCTAAGCAATATTCAAGACTGGCCACGTTCAATATCAACTGACTACAAAATCAAGTTGTTCAATATATTAATTGCATGCTATGTTGAGTCTAGTCGACATACCAAAGTACCTAGAAACATATCCCAGATTCTACCATTGAGACAAATGAGTTGTGATCATTCTAGTTATTTGAATAATTTAGTGAATGACTGGCTGAGTAAATGGTTGTCTGAGCCAAAACGTCTCTCATTATGGTCTAAGGTTACTATACGCACATGTCTCAGACGTTCCACGCAACATCGTTCTTTCCCTAAACAACCTGTAAATGAACTTATTAGGCGTTTACCGCTGGCCCCGATGCTCCAGGAGTACCTTATAGATAATGAATATCTAAAGTAATGTTGATTCTGGTTATTTCTACAAAGTAAACTCCTGATATACTTTATGATTGTATATTCATTTACAACACAAAAATCAATGCGATCTTGAGTAAATACACTTGCTACAACAAATATTGGTTGTTTTATATCATGCTGAATGGGTGAGAGTTAAGAACATACATGAACAACGCTTCAAAAACTGTTCGGATAGTATTAACTGTATTAGTGTTTTACAGACAACTTAGAATTAAATGAAACGCTAAATAACATACTTATTCCCTAATTGATGGGACACCTCACTCCCTGGGTAAGTGGGACATAAACGGTAATGGGGAGACGATATACTTGGTGCGATAGTGATACACCAACATCCAAAGAGGAAGTATCAAACGTTTTATATCTACCCATCAATACCTGGGAACACTCAGTGCAATGCTAACAACCATATCCAAAATGATGATTGTCGTCTTATAAAGATTGGTTTGAAAACCTACGCTTGAAAGACGCCACAGAATTTCGAAGATATGTGGTTCAAAAAACTTATATTTAGAAAATAATAAATGTACATAGTTTATTCCACTTCGTCATCTAAATCATCAGCTTCTTCTAAAGCCTGTTTGGCGAATGTCTCTGCTTCATCAAAGAGTTTGCGGGGAACAGGTTGATGTATACCCTTTGTATCTAAACGTATGTATATATTATCAGATCGATAGACTTACTTGCACCAACCCAACTAAGATCCAATTCAAAATTTTTGTCCTTAATTTCATCGTGAACGGTATAAATTCTACAAAAACAGAAAACCGTGACCATTGATTCAACACAATAAGACAGGTTAATATTGGGAGCGACCTTAATAATTCTTGTCACCATTGTGCCTTTTTAGTTTAGAATCTAAGTCATGGTATTACTGTACTGATTTACCACATCAATTCTAGTCCGGAAAATATTTTGAGGCACATTAATATCAGAAGACTTATAATCGTTTACAGTTTATTTGTCACACTAATTGGCAAGACTTAACGAAGGTCGCTGTGATAAATACGGATAGTACTTTAAGCAGATATTAGTAAGACCTGCCGCTAGCCCTTCCCAACTCTGTGAACATATCCATCTTTTCATAGACAGGTGTCAAATAAACATCACTGTCTTCAACTATTAACTTCACTGTAATTCATAAGTGTAGTTAGTTATTTATATTTTCTTCTGGGTGTGATCTTGAGTGTCAGTTATCTGTCGTTATCTATTATCGTTTTGCCTGTAAATACGTTTGGCTAATAATCCGTAACTCATACATGCATTCATATACAAACGACACTCCTAGTTTGGAATCAAGCAATGCACACCAAAGGCATTGCATCGAACGAAGCCCCAGGCCTTAGGAAACTGCAATAGCTTTAAGTCAGAGTTCAGTGGTCTGCCCCTGTCGATTCGGAAACTTTTATATCCCTTTTGGTTTTAATGATCTTTTAGGTAATAAGCAGCAATTGGTGAAAAACGTTTGATTACGTTTCCCTTGCAGGGAATAAGTATGAAAGTAGAGAAATATGTATTGAGACGTAGATAAACTACTTAGCACACTGTAATACCGATACACCTATCTTTTCTGTATAATAAAATGTCAAGGAAATGCCATTTGTCTTTAATCATTTTTTCATAAGTGAACGAGTCACAGAAGGTATTCAGTTAAACTCCCCTAAAATTTCTTTACTAAAATAGTTTAGGGAGATAAGGTAAGATAACACCTAAAAAGGTCTCACTGCTATCCCGTCAATTTGTGTTATTTAAAATCGAAATTACAAGATAGGCCTTTCAAGGATGCTATCTAGTCGACCAGTGGTGGTTGGTTAATCAAAGGGTAAGTTAGCTGGTTTTATTACTCCAAGTTGCATTTATTAATTCGGCTCCTCTTGTGAATTGAGCTACACTGAACTACTAACCAACTTAGCCAACGAGTATCTTTTGCGGCTAGGAAAGGGTCGGACAAAATACGTACGCCTAACGATCTGTTACTGTCGATAAAACCAAAACCTCTAAATTAGTTTGCTGTATATCTTCTGGTCTTTCCAGCGAGCTTCGATTTCGTCTTCTACAAGTAGCCGGAGCTATGTGAATTTGAGCAAACTCTATTATCTGTATGTGAAAGTTAGATACGTTTGTCCCTTTTTTTAGTCAAAGAAAACGAAATAAACTAGCTTAGTAGTCCTTTCTACTTTTTGTCAGACTTTAACCCTTTCGTATCTTTTTTTTTACGAATATACGCCATTTACTACGTGGTTTTTAGTGATTATCATTTAGCGAACAGTCTCAAACAGTAAGACAATTTCTCGATCGTAGTATGTAGGTAAGGTCTCTTAAAAGGCAGATATAGGCTGGCACTACACACTTTCTTCAGAGCAGCTGTCACACAGTCAAAAGATATAAGTTGGTAACACAACAACCTTCTAGAGGCACATATATCTACGAAACGTCGGACGTACTTCACATTCTTCTACTTGGCTACAAACTGAATTGACTTTGTTTGCTCGGTGCATATTTACTAGTACTTAGACGTTTCGAAAAATTACACGTGCGCCAAAGTATCAGTGAACTCATGAACAGGAAAATATCATGAAGACCTACATTTTGGCCGCTTCCTTGATTAATTCTTCAGGAGACAAATCATTCATCTTCAGTTTCTCTATTTCAGTTGTTGCATTTTGTTTGGCTTTTCCGATGGCACAGCCAAAATAAGCCTTTCATGTAAAGAAAGTAAAGACAATAATGTTGCAAGATAAATAGATTCTAGAAAATAGAGGAAATTTATTATTTTGATAATAAGTAGCTAAATCAAAATTTACTATACTATAGTGAAGCCACTAGGGCATCTACTGAGTGACCAGATGTTTTGTATGACAACATTGAGGTTAATAATAACACTGCTGACAAACAATAACCAACGTCATACAGAAGTTCATGGAAAGGAATTTAACAAATTACACATGTATCAGATAAGTAGACTACTTAGAGATCTTAGTTTGGAGTGAGGTCAAAACTTTATAAATAATCTGTTCAACACCATAATTTAGTTTCCAAGCTTAAACTTGAGAGGAATAATTGGCTTTGAACATGTCCTTTTATTTAGGGTAATCAAATGAAATAGTCAGTCAACACTAAAGTAAGACCTCGCATGAGTGTCGATCGGATAAAATTTCCACACCTGACACCAGTGCAGTGAGAGGAAATACAAAACCGAAAGCATGTTGTGAGTAGTGATTTAAAAAAGAATGCACTTCAAAATATGAGAGATTCAATGACGGAAATTTTGCAATGACTATCAGAATCAATTGGATTTTGAAAACTTTATAACAGAACTATTGTTAAGCTGTTTAAAACTAGTGTGACAAAAGTACGGATTTTATAAGTATTCATCTAAAATTACAATTTTTAATTACTGCAGAAAGTGAACAAAGCAAACGTTAAGACTGCATAACATGCCTTGCTAAGCACTGAGAATATAAAGAAACAGGATGGATAATGACCCGCATGAGTAAAGAACGGTGAAAAACTTAGAATCGAAAATATGTGACACTAAAATTTGGATTTAGGAGATAAAAGGAATGTAGTCGCGTTATTGAGACCGATTTCAGACTATATCAACAATGCACTTTTTCACAGCCTCTGAGGACGAATTCGGCACTTGGGGACTAACAATTTACGACCTGGTGGCATGTCTAAATCTGCTTACCCTTAGATGCGTATTAGGGTATGCGGTGACTGCATATAAAACATCCCCAGATATGGTCACTGAAGATAGAGCCTTACCAAACTTATTTTCTATCAATATTTAACACAGGAGCTCAGCATTACTCACTGTGTTTGCATCACGTAGTAGCAAACAGCACACTATATTTGCCCCATTATATTCAGAAAATAGAATTAGTCGAAGCATTCGAAAATGATTTAATGCTAATAATGAATGTATATATATATTAGATTTTCCGTAAACACAAACATGTAGTTATCTCTGATGACTTAACGTTAATATATTAACCTGTTATCGTAGATCTGATTGGTTCGTTCGAATATTATAGTCTTGCCCATTACTCAAATAAAAACTACTCTACCTCAGAATAAAACAGCACTTTACAAGAAAATTACGGCACAATATTGGCGTAGACTTACAAAAGACAACCCGGAAGGCTCTATCACGAACAAATGAGGACCATCGTTTTCGTAGGAACCAAGCAAAACTGATACACCGAACGGTCTGACCGCACTATAAAGTGTATGAGCGTGCATGTACATAGCCAGTCGTTCCGTCAGAGACTATAGGAAGAAATATAGCGAACGGGAAACATACATAGAGAGGTATACGGCTTCCAAAGCTATTGCGATAATTTGAGCATTCTTCTCTGGCTGCCTCAACGATTGCCTTGGCGTCAGTTTGAAATCCCATCACCACCTAGAATGTATGGGCATTGTAACTAACAAATTACCATCCCGATATGGTCATCAATATTATAAATCCGTTTAACACAACCAGGCTCGTAAAGTTTTGATGTGACAATATTCTCCACAGCAAAAACTACACAGTCTTTACCTTGGATAGCAATGGCTGTACTAAAAACATGGGTAAAATAATGACGTTATTTCTTGCCCGCTATTTTCGACAGCCTTACAGGCATACTCTATCTGAAAAACATTTCCGCCTCGTGAGAACTGCGATGCAGTAAGGTCATACTAAAAAATAATTGTAAAGAACTAGAGACAAACCCCACTACCGATAGAAGACATGACTAAGCCACTACAATTCCGCGACCAACGACCTTTTTCAAGGGAATGTCCGACGCTCAATATTTTGATGACGAGTTTGTATAGCCCAGTAGATTTCTTAGTACAACCCTTTCGATGTTAAGCAGCAGTTATGTAATTTTCGGTCACTCCTGGCGAAATGTTTTTTAGATTGTTCTTTGCAATATGTACTTCAGTATTTTTCGAGTTACTCCCTCTTACCTTTATTTACTCTTATCGAAGTTT